GATTAGAATGCTAGGCTATGACTCAGGAGATCTGCATTCTGGACCCCGTTCAACCCTGAAGTTCACTGGGTGACTTTGGGCCAGATGAATTCTCAACATAACCTATTTCAAAGAGTGGTTCTCATGAGAATAAAAATGGAGTGGCAATCTATGCAAGTCACCTTACATTCCCCACAAGAGGAAAGAAGGTGCATAAAAATGAATTGTAATAGCAGTTATATTAAGTAGTAGCAGCAGTGGTGATGAAGGAAAATAATACATCTCACCCTGTGGAAAAATATTTGTGCCACCTTTCAAGAAAATACTCCCTGGCTATTTTGCTCACTCCCAGAAAATCTGACATGGTTCCCACTTAGTTCCCTCTTTCATAGCAGACTTCCTTTTCTTTTCTTTTGCACCAGTAATTTCTGTTATTTCTGGAATACTAAAGGGAAAAGAAACTCCAGTGCCTCTCCCTCACATTGCTAGTAAATACTTGCACAGGGTCTTTTGATCCTTAGGCCCAGGCTAACTTTGATGTGGTGCCCTTTTCTTCAATAAATGTACCCACTGCCTTTTAAGTCTACCCAAATTGGTAGCCATCACTGAATCTTCTGAAGGTTGAGCTCCTTCTTGAAGATGAAATCTAAAGCCACATCCCACTGTCAAATAGCCAGGTTTAAAGGGAGAAGATATTGTCTCACTTTTATGGAAAAGTGAGCAAAACGTTCTGCAAACATTTATAACTGGAAAGGATAGACCAACAAGTCAAATTATGGCAATAAAGCCATTTGAAAAAGAGTAGTGACAAATTTCTGAATTTTTCACTGCACCAAAAATACAAAAAGAAAAAAGGCACAATGACAGTGCCAAATACTTTGAATCAAAGTCCACTAGAAGGACTCATATTAACAACCTACTGGGGTTTGGCTGACATTAGGTCCAAACTTAAATACTTCAAAAACTAATTTACTTGTGGAGTGTTTCCATCATGAAGCACTGAAGATTTATAAAATGTAAGTACATTTAAAAAGTATACAATGTGTCAGACTGTTGATCTATCAAACTCAATACCAGATGCCAGTAATTGACTAGCCACAGCTCTCCACGGTCTCAGGCAGAGAGAGCGCTTTTCAAGCTCTTTTGTTGCAGGAACTTCAGTGAAGATGCCAGGGACCAAACTCAAGACCTCACATGTGGAAAAGTGTGTGCTTCTCAGCAGACCTAAAGGCCATGCCCTCTCTGAGCTGCCAAACTGCATGGCCAGCTCTGGGGCCGTGATGGATGGGCTGCGTCCTGATTCTCTGACCAATATACGGAATGACTCCAGGAGAACGAGTAGGCTTAAAACTCATTTGTAAGATGTAAATGTCTTTTTGCATGGCCTGAAATTTTTTAACAGAAATTTGCGGGAGTATTAAAATATGCAAACCCACAGCTTTAGTTTTAATATGGTTCAGAAAATGTTATACTATGTAAAATTTTGCCGATCATACAGCACAACTCTCCTAATGTATGCAGCAGTTACTAGAGAGGCCAAAAGCCATTTAGCAGAATTAGGGGACCCCACTATGGTCTACTGAAATTACATAAACACCCCTTTCTTAATTTTTCAATCCTCCTACATTCATCATAGGCCACTAGTGCTAGGAAACAGAGATTTAAAGCCAAGAATTAAAATTACATGGCTCTCTTTTCAATAATTTTTATGTATGTTGCTAGAAGCTTGTGGTTTGCACCTATCTGGGTGATCTCAAAAATCACTGGGACAAAATCTATTGTAACTCAGATCAATAAAACAACCAATACCAAATGTGAAGCATTTTATAAAATCCTGTGTCTTACTTTTCAAGTCCCTCATTGTTTGAGGGAAGGATTTAAATATAGACAGCTGCTACTTACCTTCAGGTATTCATTATGTGCTTCCATCCCCTCTACTTTTCTAGCCCTTGATTTTCTAAACATTTGTTTCCATTCTTAAAGAGGAAGACAAGTTTGAAAACTGAAATATGCAAATAAATGCATTCATAATTGCATAACCAGGGGATTCTAGATCAGTGAATTCAAGAATGTTAGTGCAAAGTCCTTTTCCTTCTTGGAGATAATTTACAAGGATTATTAAGAATTTACACTCTCCTGTCTAACCTAAGTACAGTGGTACCTCCGCTCACAAACACCTTGATTCACGACCAAATCGGGTTGTGAACAAAAATTTCATGAAAATTTTGACTTGGGTCGCAAACTCTGCATTGGGTGGTGACCAAGATTGCAGCCATCTCCCCACACCCCCAAGTGGGGAGATGGCCACAATCACAGTCGCGTTCGTGCAGGGAAGATGTGTGTGATCACAGGCGCATTCCTGCAGGAAAGATGGGCGCAATCTCGGCCATCTCCTCCCCCCCCAACCAGCACGACAGCAGCCATTCTCCCACCACCCCGAGTGGGGAGATGGTCACGATCATGCTGGGGTGGGGGGGGGGGAGAGAATGGCTGAGATCGAGCCCGTCTCTCCCTCCCCCAGTGTGCCCTGTTTGTGCCCATCTCTCCCCCCTCACACACACCCGAATGACTGACACGATCTCGGTCGTGCTGGGGGGGGGGCGGGGAGATGGCTGCGCTTGTGCTCGGGGTGGGGAGGGGGAGTTGGCCGCAATCTTTGTTCTTCTGTCACTTTGCTTCACATTTTTCTGATTAAAAAAATGGTTACAGAACGGATTAACCTTATTTACATTGAACCTTATGGGGAAATTTAACTTGGCTCACGACCAATTTGGGTCACGACCAGAGTCCTGGAATGGATTAAGTTCATGAGCCAAGGTACCACTGTATCCTGCCTGCTATTAGTATCTTAACTATCCCCCAGAGTAAGTGTCTCCAGCAACATGGCACCTGCCCCTCTCATGGGGCACTTCCTCTCTCCTTGAAAAAGAACAAGAAATAAAAGAACATAAATGGACACTGAGTTTAAAATTTGAAAAAAGTCCTGTTCCTGATCCTGCTGCTGCTCATGGACAGGAAGAGAAAGTGAGGCAAGCAGTGGAGGGAACAGAAAGAAGCTGGAGGCTAGAAGGGGGGAAATCAGTGAAGGAATGAGTTGGGGCAAAGCAAAATAGAGGAGTACACACTGGGAATGGGCAAAAAGTGCACGACAAAAGAATGATCAGCTTCAGGGCTGGGAAGGTTGAGAAAGGAGGCTAAAGACAGATGCTGGAGAAACAGAAAGGCTATATAAGCTGGGAGTGGCAAGAGAAACAGCAAAAGGCAAGGGTCTGTCTGGAAGAAAACTGAGCAGATCAAAAAATAACTTCTTTCCATTTCTCCTTCCCTCCCCAGGCTCTAGCCTTGCCATTTCTCTCTCGAACACCACACTCCTACACACACGCACTACTCTGGTGTAGCCAGGTTCCATGGGAACCAATATGCAACTAGTCCCCTCCGCTACCAGTTTGCAGTAGTGCCTACAGGAGTTTCTCAAACCTTTAACGTGTCCACAGATCCAAAGAGGTTAGGGACTCCTGCCCAAGACATACTTTTAAAAACAAGAAAACACATACATCCATTACTACTGGTGTTCACAATTCATTTCAGGTTGCTCTGGCTAAGCATCTCTGCATGACTTTTTTGCAGTGCCCTCTGCCCTGTTTTCACTCTCCCTGCTGCAAAATCAAAAAGTGGTACTCACTCACTTCCAGTAAAGTGGAAGTAACTCTCCACAAAATGTAAGTTGATAACTGCAAAGGCTGCAGTTATTCATGAAACACATGTGTATACAGAATACCAATCATCTGCAAAGAAACACTGGACAAGTTTAGATGGCTCTGTTTTTCTTGCGGAATTGTATCAATGTCGCACTTACAGTTGAACTATTGAAATGACTGGAATTATAAGATACCACCCAAACTGTTGCCTACCAGTATCTTTGATTTTTTGAAGACTGAGATCTAAGTAGTGCTAATAATATTTTAATTGAAGGTGCCTTTTGTTGGCAAATGACAGTCCAGCAGCATTAGGTGCTCAGTACTTGCTCTTTGGAAGGAAGGAAGCAAGGAAAGAAGGTTGTGTTTGAAGTTCAATCACATTATCCTGTGCTCTCAGATAGGTTTCCATTTTTTTTAAGAACTAAAACAATTTTTACTATTTGTGTATTTTTGGGTAGCTTGTCTTCTAAAGGAAGGCTGGCTAGGATAGGAAAAAACCCCCCTCCATACCAGCATTTTTTAGTTTATAACATAATGCAGCTTTACAGTGGAGCTTCCCTCTAACGCCCTTTTGGCACATGCACCATACCATGGGTGACACATGAACATGCAGCTCAAGGTCAGACCACCAGACAGTCTAGCCTATCACTAGTTATGCAAACAAGAGCACCTCTCCAAGATCTTAGGCAGACATCTGTCCCATGAACTGAAGGCGACCCCTTTAACTGAAAATGGAAAGGACGGAACCCCGGTTCTTGAACAAGGAAGTATTTGCTCTATTGCTGGGCCATGAGCATGCGAGCAATTGAGGTCTCCCATCCCACCAAACCGTAACAAGTGTGCAATAATATGACCAGCCTTGTGGGGCATTTCTAAATTCAACAGCAAGAGCCTGCATGCCAGCTATGCTGCATCCAGTGTTTAAAAAGACATGTTTTTGCAAGGAGTTGTTCTCACCAGTTCTTCTAAAGAGACGGTACATGGATCACTACCTTCTGACAGACACCTATCTTCTGCAGAAAATAAGTTCTCATAGGAATTTCCCAGGATGGAGGGAAAATTTGTACTGGTTGCAGCTCTAAACTAAATGGATGAGGACACTCAGTGAATGTCAAATGAAAAGACAATCTGTAGACCAAGGAAGTAGTCAAAGGAAACAGTATGGATTCTCAAGGTTAATAGAAAAATTCTCAGAGTCACTTCTGTCAATATCCAGATATTTCATCCATTTTTTTCCTTGTGTGGATGCCATGTCTAAGGTTTATTACCACAGTTCTTGGCAAGCTGGTTTGAACTGAAAGAAAACTGAATCCCATTCCATAATTAGGTACTAAAACAGTTATTTATAAATAAACGTCATTCATAAAATGTTTTTGCTTTAAAAAATAGAAATTTCATCCCACTTTTTCCTTTAAAATCCATTTGTTTGACTCAGGCGTGTTAGCATGGCAAGAAAGGAAGTGGAAACAAGAGGGCTGGAGTCTGTTTTGATGAGGAGCAATGCAAGCCACAGATGGAAGAGCATCTTGATGGTCGGAGTCTCCAGCCTGCCTGCTCTCTCATCTTCCTCAGAGCCTTGGCTAGACCTCTCCATCTTCATCAGAGCTGCTGCTGCTGCTGCTGCCGCCGCCACCGCTGCCCCCACTGGAGCTCCCGCTATCACTACTTTCCTCATGCTGAGCCTTGCTGCGAGCCGCCTCTGCCGCCGCCGCCGCCGCCTCTGCCTCTTCCCTCTCCCGCTGCTTCAGAGCAGCTGCCTTTTTCTCCTGTTCAGCATGGCTTTTCATATGAGCACTGCGGCTTTTCACTTTGTAGAAGATCCTGCAGGAACACAGATGTGCACACAGAAGTGGTTTATGCTATGGCACTGGAAAGCTGCCATTCCAAATAAATAAAAAAAAAAGACATTGAGCACACCAAAGATCGCTCTTTGGAGAACAGATGTAATCTGGCTCCAGTGTATGATGTCATTCATGACTAGCCCAACTTTAATTGGCCTGAGAGAGGCAGGGGAATGATAGTGCTACCAAACTGGAAGCAAGAGTTCTCTCGTTGGCCAATTTCTATCAGAAGGCTACAAAGGATGAAATAACATTGTTCCAAGAAACTGTGGAGTCAGTGCCGTCTTGGCCGTAGCAAAAGGGACTCAACGCAAGACCTCTGGAATGTCTAGGGCTGAGCCCTACATCTTAATCAAGAAGTGCAGAAAGGCCCCCACCCAAGCTGTCCTTTATTTTGATGTTTATAATGTGATTTCTTTCTGGTTCCTCTGTATAATACAATGTGGTCTTTAGTAAGAGTTGCATTTAATAGCATCTATCTGAAATCAGGGACTGCCTAGATTGTTTGACTACATGCTTTCTAGAAAAGATCACATCCAAACAGTAAGGGGAACTAGCTGGTTGGGACAAATAGGAAACAGGCCTGAAAGCAGTTCTTTGCCATGGATTCTGTTTATTTTGAGCCAACCAAGTGGCCATTAACCTGTTGGAAGCAACTACTGAAGGAAAAAAGAGAGGCTTTGCTAACTGATTAACAGGCGTGAATGAAGTGCTTAGCCATACTTTTTGCTGCATTTAAGTTCCCAAGTGCATTCGCATAGGCGTAAAAACTCATTACAGTCAGAATCAATGAAGTTCTCAATTTCTTTGTATGCCCAACATAGACTGAAATCATCTGCATCTAATTCCCTATTGCCTCCGATTATTTGCTTACTAATTGCTGGATTTTCTCTATATATTTTGTTTTTATCCATTTTCTTTACATCTTCTGTTTTGCAAGTCTCTCCTCATTTCTCACCTTTGGTGATTTTTTTAAACCTTTTTGGAAACCCAGCAACCATGTCTACCAAATAACCTCTATCTACATACAGGTTAAAACACTCAGCTGACCCTCATGATTACCATTCCTTTGGTAACAACTACAAGAAAGAAGAACCTTGGGTGCTGAAAGCACGCTTCTCTGAGTACCAGCTAGCAATCTTCTGGCTCAAAAGAGAGTTCTGTTTTAGACAGCTAAGTACCACAGCCTCCAAAGTATAAATATATTTATGTAAAGATCCCATATTCTTCATTTCATCATGATGTCTGAACTTGTAATAGCTCACTAGTTTTATGTAAATCTGTCAGATAATTTAATTTCCTATCCTAATAATTCCTGCAGGGAAAAACTTTTTTTTCTTAGTCTCACTCAAGTAGACAGGATAAGACCTGCAATGTGTACAAACTGAAGTGAGATGTTTAATAATGTCTACTTGTTTAGCCCAGAACTGGTGTATGGCACTAAAAAAGAAATAAAATAAAACCTAGATTTCTACTGAAAGCCTATTCCCATGTACTCATGTGTACAAGAATAATTCCATTCCTGCTGTGATGCATACAAAAGTGAAGGTATAACTACTTGTTACAACAGGAAGCAATTTACAAGTGGACAAAAATAATCAGCTATTTATATAGCTGTAACTTGTCCTGGCTAACAGCTCGATTCCACACCCATTGCTTCTGGTTGTACAGAAGGGATGACAGAACCTTTCTTCATCACCTGAGTCATTTCATTCTTACCTGCCACATTTTTTACATGGAAATTCTTCTTCTTGGTTTTGGGCTTTGGTGGCGGCCTCTGGTTTGGCTTTTGGCTTTCTTCTTCTCTTCTGTGCAGGTGGAGAAATCTTCCGATATTTAATGGGCATCTCCTTTGTTCTTCTTGAAGTTCTGCCTCTGGCTTCAACCCCTCTTGGAACAGCAGGTTCCCTTCGTCTCTCTGTGCCAGCCTACACAGAAAGAAACCATTACAAGTTGGAATGATAAGAATTCCTAGGGATCGGATGCTAAACAATGCCCAGAGATATAGATTTACCAACAGTAAACACCAGTGCTGGATTAGACCAATGGTCCATCTTGTCCAGCAGTCTGTTCGCACAGTGACCCCACAAACAGGATATGAGTCTTTTGCCCAAGTTCCCCAGCAACTGGTGCACATAAGAAAGTTGATACTGGATCACTGCCCCTAATACTAGACTGCACTGATTATACATTCAATTTAATTCAATTATGTAAAAATATGAAGTGTCACTATGCTTAAAGAGAGGTTTCAAATGGTAACTACACTGTAACAGTCTAATCACCATCACAAACATGTAGGAATACTTTCGCTTTAAAATACTGATTTAAACTCCCAATAGAGAGGGAATTTCCCCAGTTTCCCTCATTTTTTAATGTATCACAAAAACACATGCTCTTACAATTTACATTCTACCGTATTTTAGGAATTTTACATAGAATTTCCCTGGAAAACTGCTGAAGATTGAGCAAGCTTTTGAAAATCTGCCAGAAACATTCACCTCTCCATAATGAAACATATGTCTCCACATTGTCTTCTGGGCACAAACTGAGAAACTACGTTTGACTCACAAGTGTCTAAATCAAACAAGTAGAATTCAAATCAGAGTCTACTGCTTTCTGTATATCCATCACATAATCTCATAAAAAGAGAGAAAACTTAGCCTGAGAACCATATTTAATTCCAGGGAAGCTACATTTCAATGGTGGGCACAGCCCACAGTATTTGCATAGTTTATCCTAAAATTCTTACTGCCACCAAGCCAGCTTCAGGAAAGTCACTACACCCTCATATAAGGAAATGCTACACAAAAGTGGGAAAGCATGACAAAATTAGCTCTCTGGTGAAACAGCGCTGGACCAGGAGAAAGAGGAGTGGCCATTTGGGGACTCTGGAGAGCCAGATCTAGTCTGCAGGCCTGAGGTTCCCAACCCCTATCAAAAATAATGTTTTTAAAATGAAAAGTTCTATAAGCACCTTGGAAGGTCATCTACGAAATGACATGAGGCTTCCAACACTTGGAGAATGACAGTTTCTACCAGCGTGCAGACTACAGCACCATGAAAAACCTTGAAAATCTATGAAATGACGACACTCACAGCTTGGGAAGGGTTGTTTCTTGTTAGAACAACTAGACACCTGATAAAAGGGGCAGATTTCTCACTTGTAAGTGTGGTGTTTCCAGTGATCCTTTGGGAACTCCCATATATGGGCTTTGTGCCTGCTCCCCCTATGTGTGAGCCACATGGTCCCCAAGGAATCTTTTCTAGTTGAGATGTTAAATTTATGTCCCTGCATTTCCAAATCTGACTTACTTGGACTGAGAGCATCAGAAAGGTGACAGCCTTACCATATAAACTTAACCCTCCACTGGTATTTAGACGAAATCTAAATATATATCCATTTTATTGTAGTTAGTCTGACATTTGGCAAACCACTTTTAAAGCTTACTTTTCATATCACAAGTAATTCAACACTCACCTGGTCCTCATCATGTAACAGGTGTGTGGGTTTGGGAGGTGCTATGTTGCTGCTCTTGTCATACAACTCATCTCCTTCTACTACTTCCTCTTTTATAGCCAATTCATCATCCATTCCTCCTTCGTCATCCTCATCTTCAGTATTTTCGTAATCTTCATTGTACGTTCTGGGAGGAAGAGTACGTGTAAGCCTATGGGAACTCTTCAGACAGGTAAAAAAGGAATGCAAGTTAGATTTTTTTAAAAAAGAGAACTCACTTCAGTGCAAAGACATTAAGAGACGCGTAAGTGGAAGTCCAACAGGGTCTAGTTGGCACCATTCCAATAGATTCTTTGGATGAAGTTCAGTAAAACACTCCAAGTTCCATAAGTCATTCCACTGCTAAAAGGAAACGGATGACCTTTGTTTTGATGTTTTATTTTCTTATGAGCAATTTTATAGATGTGCAATATGACCTTTTAGCACCAAAGCCAAGATCTAGCATGTTACCTTTACATCTACTTCAGCTTCATCTTTAATGGCTCTTTCACTGGTTGTATCAACATCCCCAAAGATCAAGCTCCCATTCCGGCCTATTTTGACTTGCTTTTTGTATGTATAATAGAACTCTACACACTGGCTCACAGTCTTCGTCTTTATCTGGAATATTGGAAAAGGGTTGGGAGGAAATGGGGGGGGGGGGAACAAGTTACATTATATTATTATCTTTATTTATGCACACCCCCTCTTATTTACATATTATTTATGTACCTATGGGCTACAACTCTGCAATTTCACTGAAGTTCATTCTCTTGAAGTCTGGCATGCACCCACACAAGGCGGTTTCTAATTTTTGTCAAACTCCCTGAGTTTCAAAAATGGTTTGTCATTTGGAATCAAGGATAGGTATGAAGAGGTCATTCAAGTCTCCAATGGACACAGAAGGTAAGGCAATTGCCTGGGCTGGACTGGTGCTCTCCTTGATCAAAACTGGTCTCAGGCTCAGTTATAAAATCAACAATGTATGTATATTTCAAACTTTACTATAGCCAATTCCAAAGCCTGAGGAAGCTGGACACAGGAAAATAAAAGTTCTAAACAATGAAGTACATGTTTTCCAAGTTTCTATTAGAACGGAAAATCTAAGCAAAACCATCCAGGACTTCAACTCCTTCCCAGGTTGGTTCCCTTATCACCAGTTCTTTTCATTCACACATAATGCTCTAAGATAAGCCAATAACAAGATAATCAATAACAGAAAAAATAAAAGACACTAACAACACAGCACATCCTCCACTACTTATATTCCTCCAATATTTTTCAAGTGCTTATTTTCAGCTCTTAGGCTCTGGAACAACCCATTTTCTGACCAAGGCTACTGCATTTCTGAGGGGTGTTTTATCTTTTTTTTTTCTCCACACATACTATCTCCAAGCATTTCTATTTAATACTGTATTACATAAATAAATTGTAGTGTTAGATAATGAAAATGCTCAGCATCAGTATGAAGTAAACCCTATATAAGGAAATCTACAGCTGTAGATCCATTTTGCAATGCCTTAGGGAAATGCTAGATGATAAAATACTCACCAATTTCTGAACCAGGAAGAAGTCTTTCTTGTAGATGGCAATTCCTTTATTGAAGAGTTTTTTCTCCAGTACACTCCACTTATCTGATCCTGAGAAGAACACAACTGTTTTATTTCTTTTCATTCTCCCCAAACATGGAAATGTTTTTTCCAGCTCTATCTCCTGAATATATCTGTCATCCGGCTTGTATTATATTTGAAGTTACTGTTCCTTTATTAGAAGTTTTCAGAAAGCTTTTCTTAAGTAAATGCCATCTGCAGTGCCTTGACAGGTGCAGTTCATGATATACTTCATTAAAATATAATTCTGCTGTTCCAATCCCTTTGGCAGCAACAGCTGGACAAGTTTTAATGAGAACAGAACTTGCAGACTAAAGCAACAGGGCTCCTTGCTCTTAGGACTGCTCTGCACTTATTTTTTAGCTAGTCTGCCCCACATTCAATGTGTAAATATATGTGCCAGTCCCCAATTTTTAACATTACTTCAAAAAAATGTTCATCTGTGTATGACACAGATTTGTGAATCAGTGCCAGCAACAGCTGAAATGCCGAACTTTACGCAGATAGTGCAAAACACTTACTACTGGAGAAGTCTAAAAGCAGAACGTGTTTAATATTTGAAGCATGCAATGCACAGTCTCCCTTATGCCATCAACCAGTATTTCAACAGAGAGGAAGTTAAGCCAAACCACAACTAGAATGGAATGGAGTGGTGCTCGATTTCCTCTTCACACCCAAAACAGCCTTGGATTGGGACAAAACTAATTCACAATTGCAGCTAAAGTCCAGAATGTAAGCAGGATTTACTATTGCACTGTATGTTACACATACAGATAAACTAGCTTTAAAACTGTTAGGCAATCTATGCAAACGAGCAATTATTCTAAAGGTGAGGTTACAGAATTGAAAGTCCCAGGGTCTCCAAGGCCCTCACAGCAGTGAACTGCCTGGCCTTGATTGCCCAGCTCCTTCCGTGACATCAGAGCAGCTGCTAAGCAAGCAGGCTACAAAATATCTGCCAACCAACTTCCTTCTGTGACCTGACAGCAGATTAGCCAAACATTTCAAAAGAGGTAGGTCAAAGGGTTTGAGAAGAAACACAAGAGCCAAGGGATCAGAGGAGAGCCAGAAGCACAGTGGGTGAGTTTTAAAGGCACTCAACAGCATGATTTCAACACTGTCGCACTTCATCTGTAACTGGTTTGTACTTAAATGAATGTGGATGACATTCATATCCTGTGAGCTTTGCCTGTGTTGATGCATATTGTGTATAATACTATTACATGGCAAAAGCCCAAATAATCATGATATGAGAGAAGAACCACTTGATTCCATTAAGTCTATGAAGGGCTTGGGTTTGTTTTTGGTCAAACAGCAGCCCACTGCACCATGCCATAAACTGAGTTACAAAAGTAGCTGACAATATTATACAGAGGACCACCTGCTTAAAATGGCATTTCCAGAAACAATTATGTGCTTTACATTTTTCTGTTATGCTCTCAACCACCTCAGCAAAATATTTGACCTTTATGAAAACAAATAGTCTGAAGCACCAGAAGTTATTGCATATAGCATGAGGGAGCTCAAAAGTCTCTTTAAATTGGAAAGATATTTTTGGGTTACAAGACACTTAACTAATTTCCCATATCAGTTAACTTCTTTTCACTTTTAAGGCCTCTTTTAATTTAGGGGTATCTTGGCAACAGATAAGCCTACAAATGAATCACAGCTTTCCAGACAAACCTGGACAGGGCAAGTTGGACAGAGTGTTACTCCAAAACTCCTCTCAGAAAATGGTCCAGAAATGAAAACATTAATCATACCTTTAGAAATTATTTCCCATTCTTACTGCAGGAGACACAATGCCAGCAGCAGAATTGGATTTCTCTTTATTTTAAGGTTGGGGCATTTAAGTTTAAGGAAGTAGAAAATGAATTATATTTTGGAATTATTAGATTTAAAACAATGTTTTCCTTTATTTTATGTAATGATTCACCATTTTATGTTCCTATAAGCCCCCCCAACATGTTAGACACAAAAAAGTATTTTTAGTACCATTTTCAAAAGCAGATTACTTTAAAGTAAGCTGTACATTAAGTATACATTATTACAGAGGGTCCAGAATCAGAACGAAAGCTATTTCGTTCCATAGGAAGAAAATTAACAACAAGCAAAAGGAAACAGCTGATGAATTGAACAGCACTTGGTAACATTCGACAATATCATTGCCTTCACACCCAAGTGCAGAGATAATCACTGTCATCCTACTTGGCTTTGCATCTCCCTGCTGTCCAAATATCCCCCAGTTCAAAATATTACTATTTCCACTATTCCTCTATGTACAGAGGTACTGCAGCAAACTTGAGACTTTCTGTACTCCCACTGTGTGGAAAAGCAACACCTGGAGAAAGAGACATCACCCTGGAAGCAGAACTCCTGTGAGTGAAACTGCTGATGGGATGCTCCGTCACTGGAAAAGGAGCTGACTTTGGATGGCTCCCTCTGCAGCCTCTGCTCCTGACTTCCTCGAGTGGGAGCATTTACCGGATTGCAGTCCCTTGGGCAAAAAGGAAGGAGCCCATCCATGAGCAGAAGGGCACTCAAGCTCCAAAACCCCATGTTTATTCGACCATGTGATTCCCCCACCCCCCGACCCTTGATAATGAACTGGCTCACTCAGCTATTTCATATCCAGCATCAAGACAAAGCCCATTTTCCAATAAACCAGAATTCCTCAGAGAGCACAATTCTATATACAGCAAGCACAGCAAAAAAGAAACCTGAAACTCACAACACACTCATTAAGCATCCAGGTGAGACTGGAGAAGTGTTATCTCAAAGCTCCTATTAACAAGCTGCCAATTGCTGCAAGAATTGGTGCATTTATAAAACCTCCCAAATAGAACTCTTATGTTTACTGTCCTCGTCTGCCTAAATAGTAAGTATCAAAGTAAGGAGGAAGGAAAGAGAAGCAGCGATGCCAACTGCCTCGTTTTCTGCATACCTGTGTAGTGATAATCTGCAAGAGGGTGGCTTAGGGACCGCACAGACGTCTTCAACAGCAATTTGGTTAGAGCAGCCTGAGTGGAGGAATGCAAATAAATGGATTTCATGACAAACGGTAAAACTGGAACAAGCCCCCTGCCACCAAGATGGTATAATCTTTATTGTTTACTATGCTGATACATTCAAAGTTGACCTTACTCATCCTGTAGAAGGACTAATGCTTGCTTATTCAGTCTTGTAACTTAGCCTTTGAGGTAGGTGGAATGGGCCAAGACATATTAAATCTGCTTAGCAAAAAGAAGGTACCATGTACCTGTCATGAGCCAGTTCTTTTCCTCTTTCCTTCTGTTTATCAAGCTCAAAACATCTGACATGCAGTTTTTTTTTACTGAAACTTAACTGAGTTTGAAACAGTAAGGACTCTATATACCCCTCTACTGAAGTTGCTGAAGAAGCATTTACTGAAAAAGTAAAGAGCAGAATCCAAACTGAAACTTCTCCTCCTTCCTTCCCTCCCTTTCATAAAATATTCTAACTCCAGCCATTAGGGTGGCTTCTGCTGCTTGATGGTTAGATGGCAGGAACATCAGATACTTCTTAAAAGGTCTGCTCATCACACACACCTTAATAGTTCAGCTCACTTTGCCCGTTGTCTCTTTACAGAGTCAAGGAATGCCTCCTCAATCTTCTCACCACCCATCAGTTCTGAAAAGTCCCCCTCCTTTTCCAAGGTAGCCTGGTTCTCACACTCTGCCTAATAATCTTCACTAGGCAGCCTCAATACTGCCCAGTCCTCTGCTCCCTGCTTCCACCTCCTCCTCAGAACTGGACAAATCTATCTGAGCAAACTGTAATATGCTCAGTGCTGGGCCCTTTCTTTACAATCTAGAAGATGCCACTTTCTTTTTTCCCCTCCTGTTCCAGCTTTAATTTGGTACCAAGTGCCTGCCTGTGAAGGTATTTGAGACTGAATTAATTAAATGCCTTCACCTACATGGATGTATTACGTCATCTGACAATGATCCTTGCTAGCACGTGCTCAATTACTGAAGAATTCCCACCCAGGGATTCTGCCTTAGATAATGACTCATTGAAGAGCTAGCTAATATCCACATGTAAACATTCAGTTCACTCAAGTCAACAGTACGCCAAAGCAAACACAAGGCCACAGTGATTCCAGGCAATCTGCTGATGCCTACTTGAGTGCATGCAAAAGGTAGGTAGGAGACTATTCAACTACTCCTTTATAAAGCATAAGTTCTTTGACAACACCTATCAAGGGCCTGCATGCACCTTATTAATACTTAATATATAAAGTATAGTAAGTAGTAACACGGCCGTTTCATCACAAAAATATAGTGTTGCAAATTAAGTTTCATGTATGTAGGTGACAGCAACATACTTAATTGATGACTTTATACTTTGCCTTTCCACACTTAACACTCAAGATGGACAATTAAGAACTAATAATATGATCCTATATTAGCTCAACATATCTGGAAGGAATCTGATTAGGGAAGGGAGTGGCAATTAGTAGAAGCGGTGCTCCCTTTATTAGATGCAGCTTCCAACTTGAGATTGCAAAGTCAAATTTGCTTCTCATCTCTTAGATTGCTGGACCTTTCCTCTCAATTAACTCAAAAAGTAAATAGTCCAGATTCATGGCTTTATGACAGAATCAGATGCCAGCAGTACACATGCAGCTGGCTTATACTGAGCCAGTTCATCAGCCCATCTAGCCCAGTATGGTCTAAACTAGCTTTCTCTAACCTGGCGGGAAGTTGTAGAGCATGTGCTCCACATACAAAAGTCCCCATGTTCAAACCCAGACATCTGCAGGTAAGGCTGGGAAAGACCCCTTCCCCAAACCCTGCAGAGTCACTGCTAATCAACAATGACAATCTGGAGCTAGATGGAGCACCTCTGACCAGCTATATGACAGCTTCCCATCATTCAAGATATGTCAGACTACAATTCTCAGCATCTCTCTTGGGAAGCATCATCCAAAACATCTGGAGAGTCTCAGGTTGAGGAAGCCTAGTCTGCATTGCTGGGGAGCAGCTCTCCAGGGTTGCAGAGAAGTTTTTTCAGCCTTGTCCAGCATGCTCTCTACCCACTGAGATACAACTCTTCCACACAAGGCAACAGTAACCAGGTGCCTCGCTCTGCTAGCAGTGCAAATGCCAAGAGGCAGGGTCGCCATCATGGCAGAGGGAAGACTGGAAGGGGAGATGTAGAAAGAACTCCAAAGGCACACTGTAGAAACACAGGCACAAAGTGGGTGCAGGCTCAGAGATGCATAATGGGATTTTCTTAGGAATGGGTTGTAGTAAAAGAGCTTTTCCCAGCACAAGGTGAAAGTTTCCAAAACACTCAAGCTTGGCTGGTTTCATTCTTCCCATCACAGAGCTCAATAAAGTTGGACCCTCCTGCCAACTTTAATTAGATGCACTGAGGACTGATGGAGACTTACCAGAACGTTTCCTTTTGTTTCATGTAAGCAGTGAAATGCCAGCTCTTGGTTGGTACCACCACCAGGAAATATACTTGAGCAAGCAGCAGTCAGCAGATTCTCCACTGTTACATAACAACAAGAAGACACAATTATCACATCCAGCCAAGAAAAGCAGTAAATGGGTGAAAGAAAGCAAGCACTGGTTTTCTAAAAGAAAGACGATGGCCTTCTTAACCACCCCTGCCCTGTTCCACTTTCTGAGAAAACCAGGCCTTGCCATCTTTTAATGCAAGGGTGTTCAACTGCACAAGGGCTATGCTCCATTTTGGAGAAGCTCTTCAATTTGGAGAAGCATTCTAGGGTCAGGTAAATCCAGAGGAAAAAGGGAGCATGGCCAAAACTGCCCCCATATTCCAGCTCAAACCTTTTACTGTCAGTAGTAAGCCCCGAAAGACACATTTTGAGAATATGAGGAAAAACACAAAAGCATGGAAACCATGCTACAATTACTGGTCAGGCAGTCTGGTGAACCTCAGAGGACCAGGCTTGGTCTGTGGAGCTGAGGTTCAACACTCCTGCTGTGAAGGTTCCCAGGCAAATCAGCTAAGGTGCCCTGCCGCCTGTTTTGTTACTGCCTACTCCATCTACGCCTGGAGGAATGTTATCCATGGGGTCGTGATGGATCGGATGTGACTTTGCGACTAAGTACAACAACAACTCCATCTACACAGTGGATGCAAGACAGAGACATTCACAATGATACAGAGCTTTAGCTTGCTTGTCCATGAGAAAATTGTGCTCCATGCTAGCTGGAGCTTTAAGTTACTTTTAGCACTAACTGCCTACACAATGGAGGTGGAAAAGGGGAAAGTCCAAGAATCAACTGTAGCAATGCCCTTCTGTCAACCTAAAAACAGAATGCTGGGGGTGGTAGGTGTCCAGAAACATCTACTGTAAGTACTGCGGAGTTTGGAAGCAAGCTTACCTCGCAACAGGAGGCATGTTAAAGGAGTTACAGACTCTAAATATTTCAGCAAAAGTTCTCAAACGCATCACCAGGCCTAGCAACAGATGAACTCTTTTTCTGCCTGTCAACATGACCAGGCAGACAAGACTGGCTGGTACAGAGCAGGGCTTTTCCTGTGATAACTGATCCCTAAGGAGGCCCACCACACCTATCTTAGTGCAATTAAAGATGTAGTAATTTAGGACAAAGCAAGCAAGTCAATTCTAGCCTTCACACCAGTTGTATTGGGTGCCTTAACCTTTCAAGGCTCAATGGTTGACAAGAAGGCTGCTCACATAATGACTTTAAGAAGGTGTACCACTCCTGCCTCTCATTAGGAATTCAGTTTTCAAGCTTTTTACCATTTTCTTGGACTGATGCATTTGTTTCAAGCTCCTCCCATGGCTGCCACACCAGTTCTTCCTTGGCTTTGTCGAAGGCTGCCAGGGATCGATCTTTAAGAGGCGGGATTTCTGCTTGAAACCGAGGCCCTACATTGATCCGTCTATTTAAAAAAATAAAAAAGGGCGTTATGAAAGAGCTTCACCCTGAAACACTTAGGAGATACAAGTTACCAAGACCAACTAACTGTTCCTTTGAAACAAATTATAGCTGAATTGGTGGCACAGGTTGGATAGTTACCCATTTCTCTAGCTACCTGCACTGCTTACAATTGCAAGTCTGCTTACTTAGAAGTTACAGTGCAGAGAAACCAAGTAAGTCTCTCTCTCTCTGATTGATTGGATTTTTATCCTGCACCATTAGCCAGAGGACTTCCTGAGCAGGATATTTTTCACATACTCTTTTCCCATTCCTTAAGTCAGGCTTCTCCAACATGATGCCCTCCAGATGTACTGGACTGCAGCTTCCATAAGAAATTATGGGATCTGCACTCCCAAGGCACTCCCTAACTTAAAAGGTTTGGACAAGCATCAGCCTAAGCTACTTCACAAGGCTGTTGCAGGTAAGAGTTCCCTGAAGGAACAAATGACACACAAAGACTTTAAATAACTTGATTCAGACGTATAAAATAAAACTCATAGGGGAAAAATGTTTCTTTTTAATTGCCATATTAAAAATATATTTACAGTGTGCCTGAAATCTACCATCTACAGTACATGCGACTCATGCTGTTTCAGGACTAGGGTGAAGGCCTGAGACTTTAAGGCTACAATCTTATGTGTGTTAATTGGAAGCAAGATGTACTGAAATGAATGGAAGGAATTTGAAGGAAATCTGGGTGACAACATGTTGGCTACAATCCTCAACACAGTTACTTTTCAAGATGTCCCCATTCAAGTCACTGGAACTTATCTCAGAAAACTCATCCTTCAGATAATGTTGTAAGAACAACTGGCATTATGAACTGCTGGAACTAAACACCAGAAATAACAAATATTGTGAAATAACAGACAAGGAAGTACAAGTCTGTATCTTGCTAGGGAACTTTAAACTAATATCCTTCATCATTGCCAACATTTGTTATGAAGATATATACCTCCACTATACACAGAGGTTTGTTATAGAGCCTTGCCTCGAAGTACAGGAAACCTCATGCTTTGCAGCCCTATTAAGATGCATATGTAAACTTGGCAACTAATTAAAATTTTGTGAGACCAGATGGTGCAAACAAATGATTTCCAGGAAGTAACTTCTCTGCTCTGCTCCACATTGCACCTCTTGACTGGAGGGCAGTGGTATTGAATGCTGTAGCAAGAACAAGCCTGACTCTGCTCACCCTTAGGCCAGGCAATGCAGAACTGACTACACACTTCCATTCCTATGAAAAGGTGGCTGGGAAGGCTCAGCAGCTTCTACTGCCAAGAGCAACATGCCTGTTGTCTCACCTGACTATACCTGGTTTGTGATCCAGGTGCTTAGAGGATGAAAGCCACAGAGACAGTAGTATTCTCACAAAATGCTTTATACAAGTGATCAACTGAAGAGTCATAAGAGCACAGCCTTCCCCAGCTTCATGTTCTCTAGCTGCTTTGGACTTTATTAGCCTCAGCTAGCACAGCCAAAGGTCAGGAATCCTGCAAACTGTAGTCCAAAAGCATCTGGTGGGAGCCAAGATAGGGAAAGGCTGCCATAGAGTAGGCATAACAGCTTATGCAGGCTGGGCTATTTAAGGCTTTTGTTTAGAAGATATCAGTGAAAATTAAACTGGCTTTTCAGGCTTAGAGGACCATGTTGCTTGCTAAATTATTTAAAGTTTAGGGATGGGAAAATGGGAACAACAAAGCATATATTCTGCCCTAAATTAATTTATTCAAACAAGGAGGAAGGCAAAAGAACATAGTACAATGTGATGTGAAAACTGTTGTTACCCATTCAAAATAATAAAACTTGTGAACAGATTAGTGGACCTTTAACTTTTTTCCATGGTAAAAAATTTAAGTTTCACTTATATGAATGTTTCAGATTCTGTTCATCTTGCCTCTTCAATGGAACGTTTCAGACTAAGACTTGTAAGCTAAGGAAGGGAAGTATGCAGATGCCAATGTCAGGGAGAGTAACCAGAGGAAGAAGCAAAGTCCTTGGCTCCAGTACTACCTGGGAGAAAGCCACACATTCTGAGTTGGTTGACTCTGACTCCTCTTGGTGACTTTCTCACTCTAGTGGACAGGAAGGGACACTCTGGCATTTCAATTAAGTCATTGCACTGTATGTATTTTCAACAGAATACTTACGGTTCAATGCTGACAGGAGTACATTCTCCCATCACCGAAAGGACAGGAGGAGTGACTTCTGCACTGTCTGCAAGTGAAAATAATACAATTAATTCATGATCTTCCACTGAAAGGTTTATTGATGCCACACTATTTTAATTAATTATTTTTTGCAACAAAAACTCTCATGTATTTTTTTCTATTTTCTCATATCCTTTCAAATGCAGCTATTCCATACCGTTGTAACAACTCCTTCCAATTTAGGAAGCAATCACAACATGAGCAGAGGGCAAGTACCTCAGCCTGAATGAACACTGCCCCCAGCTTATGAGTATTATCCACAATAATAATTTCCTTCTTCTAGCCCCAAATGAACAATGAGCAAACACTTACTGGATCTGAGCAGCGTCCTGTGTGCACTTTTAGGAGTCATGGGGGGTGGAACTGAGTTACCACTAGCAGAAAGGATAGCGTTGAAATAAAGTCCTGAACCCTCTCGCACTGGGCTGAGTATTGGTGGGGGAGTATAAGGAGGTAGCTCAAAGTTTCTGTCAGAAGGGTGATCTGCCAAGCGGACAGGCGAACGTAAGTGGCTCTGATATGGCGTAATATTGGAATAGACTGGCGGAGCAATAAACGTGCCAGCTTTGGGTGGTATGAAGAGAGGCTCTGGTCTGGGTCGTTGCTTTGGTTTCCGTGCAAAACCTTCCACTTCTTCTTTTGAGGCAGTTTCTTCATGCTAAAAAAGAAACAAGTTTTGTTTCAGACCATTCCTAGTACTCTATGATGACGAGGATGATGGTGATCCGACAACTCATGATCCCCCAATTCAAATTTGTATCCAGTGGTGAACCTGCACTTACAGAAGGCTGTTCAAACCTATCCCCACTCCAACAGGGCTTTGGAGTGGGGAGAGAAGCAACTTGCAGAACTCCTGTGTCTCCTGAACCCCCAAGCACACCATCCTTCTACAGTGCTTCAAGAGGTCTCTGAACATGCTAGGGCAGATTTGCAGGGGCACAGGCTACTGTGAAAGTCACCTCCACCTGCTTCTCTTCATAGAAGCCTCCACTGGATCAGAGCACCTTCACAAAACAGAGGGGCTGAAGTGAATACAGCCCATGAATGCTACGACAAATTCAACAGAAACTACAGAGATGCTCGGCCTGCTTTTATTATTCTAATAACACTGCATTTATATCTTGCCCTTTTTCCTCGTTGTGAGGAATCAAGGAAGCTTACATAGTGCTCTTTTGTCCTCACACCAGCAACAACTAGGTTAGGCTGAGAGTGAGTGAGAGTGAAAGTCATCCAGTGAGTTTCATGGCCATGTGAGGACCAGAAAACAGATCTCCAGGGTCCTCAATCCAACTTTCTAACCACCATGTCAAACTGGCCCTCCATGCCACAGTGGCTTTAACTTATTCTAAACTTTTTAAAAAGCCTGTAAGGGTATTGTTTTGCTATGTGTATAATAATGTACATGGCACCTTAAAGCAAAGAAAAAAGGATGAGGGGAGAAGGTGGCTGAAGAATGCAGGCTCCAGCTATATTCAAAATATTGCACGCAATTGAAGAAGGGAACACAAGACAAGTTAAACGGCTCTGACTAACCACCACTGGTACCTCTTGGCTTTTGCCATTCTGGAGAAGAACAGAGCCCTTTAACTTTATGACTTGCTCACTGCTACAGCAAATGTCAGTAGTCTTGAGAAATGACAAAACAGGCATTGCCTCAGTGATGCAAAATGATGCAACCGTCATGGAACCTGCATCCTGTTATCATTTATCTAGCGAATAAATTAGATTTTCCTGCCAATGCTAAGTAAACAGCTGAGGAAAGAAAGATTGGCTATAGGATTATCATGTACAATGTCCACATAGGAAAGGCCTTTGTGCAGGAAGAAACCTTAAAGAACAAAGGTCAACCATGGTGTGCCTTATGTATAACCATAAGTATTTCATGTTAATGGTTTCTTTCTGTACAGAAGTGCATTCCTACTCTCAAAAGTTTAACATTTGATAGTGATTCCAAGAGCCTGTGAAAAAGGTTAATGGCTTGTATAATTAAAGAATATTCTACAGATCCATGATGTAATCATTGTCACTATATCAAATGAAAACTGATCAATATGTCAAATACCAAAGAGAGCTTTCCTTTGATCTAGCTTGCTTCCTGTTGTCCACTGACAAACCAGCCAGGGAGGGCAGCTCTGCATAAAAATATTAGAAATTGACCCAGATGGCATAATATGCTCGTTTAATCCCCAACGAGCTGTACATACTATTATGACTATGCAACCCCCAGTTAGGTTAACCAGGTGATGGCTATGCATTGCAAACTTGGATACTATGGATTGGTTGAAAGTTAAACAACCCTCATAAAACCGTCTATTACGACAATGGGTTATGTGAGAGTTATTTAACTCTCAAATAACCCATGGTTGCCTGGTTGTTTATTTTTACTTATTGCCTTTCTCTATTGCCCCATAAACCTCTCTGGGCTGTCTGCTATTATAAAAATTTTATATACTGTACAATCAATAAATGTTCACATTAAATAATAATAAAACCATAAAAGGTCAACACAGCAATTATAGTAAGTTAACTCTTGGGCACAGAAGCAGATAATCAGTATTTAAAACTAACTATTAAAATAACTGGAAAATAAAAAGAGTTTCACCTGATGCCGAAAAAAAAGGCAAGGATGGTGCTAGGCGTACCTCTCTGGGAAGCATGTTCCAGAGATAGGGTACCACTTCTAAAAAGGCCCTTCCCCTGGATGCCACCCCCTCCCCCATTACTTCTTTAGGGAGGGGTTCCCTAAGAAGGACCTCATGGATGATCTTAAAGGTCAGGCAGGAACATATGCAACAAGCCAAAGCTGATAAAAGGTGCTCCTAGCCACAGAGTCCCCTTGCGATTCCAGCGACAATTCCAGATCTAAGAGCACCCATATGTATGTATGCATGTATAACATGCAACCCTCAGACCAAGGAGGATGCATATATGAAATGGTGCTGGCATGTACCATAGCTCACCAGAGATTAAACAACCACAAACACTTTGCAAATTATCCACTATACAACTGAAAAGTCTTGCAACCTTTTAAAGTTGCAAGACTAAAATATACTCTGGGGCCTCAAAAAAAGACCTGTGTGTTCACGAACTATACCAAGGTGGTACCCAAGGCAGAATCCACAAACCTACTCCAAGTATGGAGATTCCTAGAGTACTAAGTAACCTTGACTGCTGCCTGCAGCTAAACCACAAATTTAACTAGCCTGCAGAACAACATGGCCTTGCTGTGTGTTACCAGCACAGAACAACACAAGTATCCTGAATAAGCAAACCACAGAAAGTGAGCACAAGTGAGACAAACAGAGGAAGATTCCCTCTGCTAGCCAAGAGGATTAATTTCTGCCCCTGGGGCAGTAGCTTATTCTGCCCATGTGTGAGCAACTGCTTGTGCAATGGGGATTTTGTGATTCTGCATGCAATGTGAAATGAGTGAAAGTGCTTGTCTCCTAGAACAGGCCAAATCAGCAGAGCTCACACTAGGGAGTTCCACTGACCTGCAACTCTCAGGGGTTACCTTAAAAGCGCAAATCCCCACTGAGCAAGCAGTTGCTCCACTGGGGCAAAAGAAACAGGGGAGACACGGCAGAAGGATTCCAACACAGGCCTACCTGAGCTGCCAGGTCCATGTTCAGGTTGCGATTCGACCTCCGCCGGGTGACTATAACAGACGGCTTGCTGTCAGAGACACCGCGGTCATGCGTCATGAACTGCTGCTGCAGCTTTCCATCCTCACTCTTCTCCCTTCCAAGATCTTGAACGTCCAGCCTCCTCACTGGCACAGACACTGGAATGATGAGAGGCAACAGACTGCTGTCCTCCCGGGCTCTCTTTGGGGCTGGTGAAGAACTGGCAAACTCCACTACACTTTTTGCTGCTGCCGCTGCTGGGACCTCACTTGTGCTCTTTTCTTCTGACCTTTCAGGTTCCTTGGTACAAAAAGACCATGTGTGAATTAAGATACCTGAAACATATCATACTTTACACAGGGAAAAATTAGGGCAGCTAGGAGACTGAAAACCCACCAGTTAAATGTAGCACAAATATTGACTGTTTTAAGGGTGCGATCCTATGGTACCTACTCATTGTCTGAGGGGGTCATAGGTTCCCAGGAATTCCTCCCTTCAAGGCTAGTGCTCCAAATTCAGAAGAAGGGCTGGAGATCCAACCGTGCTTGCAGTCAGCATGGCAAGAACTGTACCCACTGCCCTCCAAAGTCAGAAGCTTGCACAGGATGATCAAAAGCCTCTGGGTTCAGAGTTTCCAAGGGCAAACTTGGTAGGACTACATCCTAAGTTGTCCAGTAGCTTAGTATAGTAGCATGAACTTTCATGGACTACAGCCCACTTCATCAGATGCTGTTAAGTGGAAATGAAAGCTCTGAGTTTGAAAAGACAGTTAAGCAGGTATATCTGCACCAAGCTTTCCATTCTCTTAGAGCAAGTTACAAACCACAAGGGAAACTAAGAGTCTTTATAACGTGCATGCAAACCGTAGTCCCTACCGAGTAACAGATTAGCACAATCATATTTATCATCTCTTGTTCTGCAATTTCACATTCCAAAAAGGCCTTTTTTTTCAATTTCTTTATAACTGCCACCCCGAATTCCTTGACTTAGGGAGGTTAAAGCATTCATTGATAGGTTTATTGAAATTTGTATGCTTGATGCCTGATTTTTGCTCATGAGCCTGTTTGGCTGATAAGTGGCTTTTGGCATTTGAGGCAGGAGATCTAACACACAGCATTTCATGATGTGCAGGTATAATGCCCTGGATGTGGTGGATGACCTATTGGGTCAACTTACATCGTCACGGGTGTTTATTAACAGACACAGTTGGCATTTAGGCTTATTGCCGTCCGGCACCTTGCGCTGAGATAAGGTTTTGTCCCTGCCCAAGAAGTGCCTCTAGCTAGCGCAGACATGCTTCCTATTATATCTTGGCATGGGTACATCTTCCAGAATGGGCTGTATTTATCTGATAACATGGTGCTAACTGTGAACTACAGGTTACCACTAAAGGCGTTAAGGTTCTTATCTTGCTGGTATAGACCACTCTATGAAAATGTCAACCCAATGTGTGGCTGTTGTGAAAAGGCAAACACTATGTTAGACGTAATTAGCAAGGGAACTGAAAATAAAGCCACTGAGATCACACTGCCCTATAGCATGAGTGCACCGTTCTGGTTATCACATCTCAAAAAAGATACTGTAGGCTTGGAAATGATGCAGAAAAGGGCAACTAAAATCATCAAGGGGTTGCAGCAACTCCCCTGTGAATGAAGTTACAACATGTTGAGATTTTAGGAAAAAATGTGAGGAGGGGGATACATTCTAGACGTGCAAACTTATGCACAATGTAGAGAAACTGCACAGGGAGTGATTCTTTTCCCACTCCCGTAATACTGGAACCCCGGATCATCCCATGAAGGTGACTGAGGGGAGATTCAGGACAGATAAGTGGAAGCACTTCTTCATACAGTGCATAGTTAACCTATGGAATACATTTTAGTGATGGTCACCAATCTGGATGGCTTTAAATGTCGGTTCAACAAACTCCTGGAGCATAAGGCTATCAGCAGTGAGCAGTCCTGATGGCTATATTCTACCTCCAGTGTCAGAGGGTACTATATCTATTTACACCAGTTACTGGGGAATGGGGGGGAGGCTGCTGTTCCACCCATATCCCAACTGTGGGTTTCACAAAGGGCAGCTGGTTGGCCGCTGTGAGAACAGAATGCTGGGCTAGCAGGACCTTTGGCCTGATCCAGCAGGGCTCTTCTTATGTTCTCATTTCTTGCAAGTGAACAAGCAATGTAACAGTTGCTAACACTTTATGCTGTTTTATACACTGGAGAGAGACAATGGATGCGGCCCTGGCCAAGAAGCACCACTTACTCCAATGTTCTGAAGAGAAGCCAGCTCCACAGCCTTTTGAGCCAGGGTCAGCAAGTTGGCTTCTTGGGAAACACGTCGCTTTCTCCTTGCGCTCTGGATGACACCCCCTCGGACCCCACAAAAGTCATTAGCTCTCTGGCCAACACCATCAGCTGCAGCCACCTGCTTCTCTGCTTCTCTGGCATGCTCATACATGCCCATTTTTTCTGCTTCATGTTGGCTCGGCTGACCCCCAGAAGTCATCTCCCCATGGTCCAGCTCTGTTCTGGTCAATTGTGAATAACCGTCCTTGTGAATGAATGCCTCAGACGGATGTTGGAATTGAATCTCTGGGTGCTGCTGTGGCTGCCAGGGATGCGGCAGCACATTACCTGGGTACCCCTCAGCCGGCTTAGACCCCAGCGACTCTTCCATGGAAGAAGCTGACAGGACCCCTTCCTTAGAGAGCCGTCGCGATCTTCTGGGGAGCGGGATCTGTGTCTGTGGTAGGACAGCCTGCGCATTGTGCTCTGTTAGGGCCTTCAGCAGCTCCTGGTTCCTCTCAGACATTGGGTGGAATTGATGGGAACCCATATGGTGCTGCAGGGGCTGGGGAGGTGCAGCCACATGAGGCTGCGCTACGGAGGCAGGCTGCTGCTGCATGCCAAAGGCTTGCACAGCAGCCTGCTGATGGTGCTGCTGCTGTGGATAAAAGTTTTCAAAGAGCTGCAACTGAGGAAGAGCTTGTTGCTTCTGCTGGGCAGTAAAGGCTGGGCTGGAGGAAGTGGGGGGCTGTTGAAAGACATGCAACAGTTCAGGAAGCCCCTGCTTCTGGCCCTGGTGGCCAAAGGCAAGCTGGAAAGGCTGCAAAGGGAGGGTCTGGTTCTGTGGCGGCGGCGGCTGCTTTTGCATTTGCTGGAACTGATTCATGTGGCCTTGCTGCCTGGCCAGGACTTGCTGTTCCAGCTGAGCTTTGACAACATCTCCATATAAGTCTAGCTGTGACACCACCATACCTTTCTCCCGGCTTCTTTTCAAGGTGTCCGGGTGGCCGTAGAAACCTGGCATACTGGCGCTGGGATGTCCCCCTTTCTGACTACCCCCATAAACCATCCCAGGATTCCATCCTCCTGGCTGGGGCTGCCAACTGGCTTCACTCTGCTCAGGCAACCGGCCTCCCATAAGGGAGTTCTGCCATTTGGCATTAGCCAACTGCTGAGGGGTCATCCTTGCCTCACCCCTCTCCTGATAGAGAGAGCTCAGCAAGGCAGCGTTGCTGGGGATCCCACTGAAGACACCCGACTTGGAAAGCTCCATGGCTTGAGAGGAAGGGACTTCCCCACCATGGCTGTAGTACTGTCCTTCTTTGAGCTGCTGCTGCTGCTGCTGGGCCTCTTTCAGCAGAACACCTTGCTCACCGAAAAAGCCAACTTGCTTCCCAGCCCTCTTGCTTGAAGACTTTGACTGAGCCTGTAGACTCATGATTCAGTCTGTCGTCCCAGGTGAAAGGGTCAGATCGACAGCCAACCCATGGCTCGTGATAGGGTACAAAGTGAAACAGATGTAAAGATAGCAAAAGGCTTTCTTCCCCTTCCACCCTAATCCATGCAGATTTCAGTCTGTTAGACTTCTCCCTTGATTCTCTGTGATGCAAAAGGATTCTGAAGTCCACTTCTTCTCAGTGCCTGAAACTGAAGGAGAGGATCAATTACAAAATAGCTTGTAAAAAACCACGATTCTTTCTGACACTAAGCTACACCATTTGCCCATTGCAGTGCATATCTGCCCATCTCCTCAATCTCCCTGCCCCATTGCCAGCACTAGTGCCCTCCCCCGATGCACAGCTTGAACAATTTTATCTAATAGATAATGCTCATGCACATTTTAGCTACATTTCAGCTTTTGTGACAATGCTCTGAAACAATACTAAGTGTTGTGAGCTGGGGTTTCCCATTTCAAACATTCAAGGCCACAGACCCTCCTTGCAAAACATTCTTTATTGACCAAAGTGGTTTCCAGATGCACAAACACCTGGAATGAAGCTCAGAGCATGCATAGAGCGGTTCACTAAACCCAATCTGGTATTCTCTTCCAGGCCACCCTGCTCTGCTGACAATGCATCATGGGACCTGTGCCTGAGAAACTCTCCCGATCCAAGTCCACTCCTGCCAACTGGTTATTCCCAGAGACTGCCTGTCCACCTGGGGAGTCTGCCCTTGAGATAAGTGACTCCACTTTTCTCATCTCCATGTTTGGGAATGGCCACATTCCCAGGCCCCCCTCCTGTCCCTCTCCTTCGTCTTCTGAATCTGATTCTTTTGGAGACCAGCCAGCAGTTCTTGAGAATGTGTGCTCAAAGCAGTCATCTTTCTCACTCCCAGCATTAAGTTTCTTCTCAACCTTTTCCCCCATCTCTGTTCACTTTCTCTATCTTCTTAAAAGATTTATAACAGTTGTTATTCCTTTCAACATATGATTTTCTGTCCTTTTCAGCGAGTACCTTATCATTCAGCTTCTCTCTTCAGTGACAATTCTTTCATAAACACATCTTTTACCATGTCAAGAGTAGAAACTACATCTGACATTTTCTCATCTTTTTTTCTCTTATCTTTTTGGTACTATTTTCCAATGAAAATTCTAATTGTTTTCCTCTTACATCCTCCTCTAAAGAACCTACCTAACACAAATTCCTGTCAAGCAGCCATTTGCAAGTAATTTATTTATTTGATTTATATCCTGATTTAAAAAAAAAAACAATGAACTCAAAGAAGCATATGTTATTCTCCTCCTCCTGCTGCTCTCAATCATATCCCCACAACAAACCAGTGAGGTAGTTTGGGCTAAGAATCTGTGACTAGCCCAAAGTCACACAGTTGACTCCATAGCTGAGTGGGGACCACAATCCAGATTGCTTGAGTCCCAGTCCCACACTCTAAACCTCTACACCACACTGTCACTCTCACTTTACCCTAATGATCTTTGATATTACAGTCTTAAGGCTGCAAGCCTATGCTTCCCTAGGAGTGTATCCCAGGGTCAAAAATGTGCTGGATTTACCTCTCTGAAGGCAAAGAGAGTTTCACTCTTGAAGAGTGAGAACCAATTTCATAAATCTTCCCTGTCCAGCTGCACAAAGGTCTGCAACCACTGTAGAGCTTCAATGATGGAGAGATTAAAGAAAGGAAAACACTGCACGACAGAAAAAGAGAGGGGAAGAATAACAACATACACTTACTGGTCTTCCAGCATACAACTGTCAACACAAAGGAAACTGGGTCCTCCAATCTCAGACCCCTCTCCTGCCCCATGTGAGGGCTCTGTTAATATCAAACTCCAGTCTGCCCACATAAAACAGAACCAAAGTGTTACCACAGAGCATAATCCTAGTAAAGAGTGATGTCAGCCCCTCTCCTGTCTGGAAAAAGCAATGGGTTCTGCTCCCTTCACCACATTTTTAGTGGCTCATGCTGTGCTTCGGAGCAGGAAGAACTTTTTGCCTCTTTAAAAGCTCAGGCAACTTAACTTCTTGTTGCACCCCTGCCAGAATCCTCTGCTCATGCCAGAGAAACAGGCAAAGTGGAGAAAGAAGTCTCTCTGTCATCCTGGGCTCTGGAACAGGCAGAACCAGTGCAAACATCTCACACGATGCCTACCTGTTCCAAAGCCGCATGCAACCGCACCACATGCCTTCTGAAGTCTCTTCTGTAAGTGCCAGAGGATTTGAGGGATAACAAGAGATGGGGGAGACCACAACAGACATGCTCCTTGATAAAGAAAAGCGAATGTTGAAGCTCAGCATCGACCCAAAGATTCTGCCCACATTCTTCAATGCACCAAGAAGTCTTTGATGGATTAGGCCCTTGGGAGACATAAGGATGGTCTTCTCCTTCTCTTCAGTCAGCAGCTGAGCTCCCAGCCCCTCCACCTGTCATGACTTGGGAATTGTGCAACACAGCAGGACCTTTTCATCACTGCACCCAGGCTTTGGAGCAACCTGCCAAGTAATGTATCTGGCCTCCCTTTGCCCTTGGTCTTCCAATACAGCTGTAAGTCATTTTGTTTCAGAGTATTTGGGACAGATGGCTAGTTTTTACTCCACTACAATTTAATCTGCCACAATTTTTTCTGCTATTGTAACCAAATATTTATATAATGTTTGATTTGAATTTGGAGGTATTTCTGACTCTTAGAATAACTAACTGTAGTGCTACTGTTTGTGAATATATCTTTTAAATTTTGCTAGCAGGTTTGGATGCTTTTTCCAACAGAAAATTAAACTATATGTTTTAAATAAAGAAACATGGCAAGAGAGATCTGCATTTTTAAAAAAGGTTGAAACAATCGGTGCTCAAAAATGCAGCAAAAATGCAATGATATTAGTTGAAAATGAACTTCAAAAACTAGTTAAAACCAAGCACAGGGTTCAGTAAGTAAAACCTTAACACTGAAAGGAAGTTCAGTCACTGAATCAATTTGAAGGCTACAACCTCAAGATGGTCTTCCAGAATGGGTGGAAGCCACGGAATATGGGTGTTATTGTCAAAACTCTCCTTCATTTTACCCCTCAGTTATAGGCTGCAACCCCACCACCTATTTTGCATCTTGGATACCAAGAAACCTCCAAAAGCCAAGCTCCTGACATGTTGATATATAACCAACCTGGTGTCCTCCAGAATTTTTGGACTACAAATCCCATAATTCTTGGCCACTGGCTATGCTGGCCAGGGATAACTGGAGAAATGTTCCAAAACATCTGGAGGTAAACAGCCCTAGCCCTGAGGTGAACAATTTTTTGGTGCCACTTATTTAGTAGCTTGACAAATGATAAGACTGCTAAAGTGTTAAATGGTAAGTACCTTAAGCCTGCCCACATTTACTCGATCCCCTCCCAAACTGAATATGCCTGCCTGAAACTTGAGACGACCAGGTATGTTGCAGAAGTATTACACGCATGCTGTGCCACTGCTGCAGGCAGAATGTTCTCTTCCCCGATGACTCAGTAGAGTGCATTGTTGCGTTACAGATAGCCCAAGTAGCTTGCTGTCTGCCACTGGCAGTGAACCTTTGCTGACCTGCACTTACATAGCATGGTTCCATTTGCCAAGATCGACTGCCTTGTTCTGGTCTCAGAAGATATAGTCAGGAGTTACCAGAATCACCAGAGAATCAGAGTCAAGTCTCACAACAGAAACTTTTAAAAACACAGCATCATAGTTGGTCTGAAAGAACAGCTTGTGAGAGGTGGTGATGAGTATGTGCACTTTTCTATGCACTATGCACAGAGAAAACATATATATGAGGTATAGTAGGGAAGTATTATGTAGGTTTTCAGAGGCTCCACAGCTTGTTTGTACATCAGAATCACCTTGTTTCCTATTTAAAATCCTAGTCAAGAAGCACTGTAGTGCCCTGTTCCTCCCTTCCCAGGAATCATATATCTATTGATTGTTATTTTTTTGTCAAACAGACTACCTTGAGTATTTCTGTGTACTGTCAGAAAAGGTTACTCTGTCTACTCTTACAGTCTAAAAATGGCAAGCTCAGCAGCTAAAGCAGGAACAGAATCTTCTGGACTACCAGAATATCACTAACCATTTTTTAAAATGTACAACAAGGCACAAAATATCTAATGGTAGGGGGAAAAGTACAGTTGCAAAGGAGCATTTATGTAGTTCAAAAATTCAAGGAATGCAAACATCGCATTATATCAGTGGGAAAAGTGACAGGTAATAACTGGAAAAGGTAAGAGAGTAGTTCAGACTCCTCTAGAAGTCCAGATGCTGACCAACTGCACCCATTTCTCCCAAATACACCCAGTCCCCCAATTATGAACATTTGAGTTAAGAACAATCCCGACCTACAAAAAGCAAATCCAGAAGTCCCACCTTATCCTTGAGTGGCAAGTGGGTGCCTGTGGACAGCAGGCAGTAAGCGGGCACCCACAGGTGGCAAGCACCAGGTGGCAAGGAGAGGAAGGGAGGGAGGGAGCAAGGGAAGGAAGGACAGAAAGGGAAAAGGTGCCGAACAGCAAAGTCAGAACTAGAAAGCAACTCCACTGGTAACCCCACCACCCCAGTAGCACAATCAAACCCTGACTTTCCAACACCAATCTGAGCTCCATCATCATCCAGTTAATGTTAGGCTTAATGTTAGCTCAAGAAATGTTACAATTTAATAATCTTACTGCTTTATTTCTATCTTTCTATCTAAACTGCTTTAAGAAGGGTACTGTATACCTACACCAATACACAATCTCTCTCTTGAATACCTGTAGTTATATCTTTATTAAAATGCTGTATTGTGTATAAGATGTTTCAGTGTATATAGAAGTGTTTACGTGTTTTACATGCTTTTTATGTATGTGATCAGACTTACACACAAATTTGACTTACAGATGATCTCAGGAACAGAATTCATTCTTAATCCAGAGACCGGGTGTACTGCCAAAGACACTCTTAGCAGACTTTACTGCTACTCTCCAAAATATTCTCCAATGTTTCAAAGATTAAAGAAATAATTCTAAAACATGAGGAGTCATTTCCTGACAAGTCATATGAGGATATCCATGTTCAGATATGAGTTACGTGATGCTGGAATTATCCAACAAGACAGAGTTGGCCAAATCAAGGCTCGAGAGTGGCATGTGACTCTCTCAGTTCACTTTATGGCTTGCAGAGGACTCAGAGCCCCC